TTCATCCGAGGGTAAAATCACTGTTTGGCTGAAACATAGTGTGTAGGTTCCTTAACATGAGTTTCATTCCATAATCATGTAATACCACTTGAAACAACTTGTAATCCATGCATTTAACCTAGGTTTAACATCATATTCTTTCTCCCCTAACCTTAACACAATTCGGCCACCATCCATACCAAGGAGAAACCACCAATTTCAACCATAAAACTCAAGAAAACTAATCAATACACAAGGTAGAACAAGGTAGAACGTCAAACTAACCTTATAATACTCTTTTGTAATAATTTGAACTATATGGAGGTTATATTATCCCATAATTTAGTTGTCAATTGACAACCTCTGACTTGTCAATAACTTCACATTAACTTGTTGATCCATGCCTATGAGCTTGTCAACCAAGATAGAAACAATGATGTAATTTTTTATTCAGAATATATTAATCTCAAGTCTCATGGGACCTTCTATTTATTTTAAGATTTTAAGAGATCTTAAATTAATAAATTATGTTATTTGAGATGTGTGTAATTTGTTTTTTGTTCCTTTAGTAAGAGCTAGGGCTAAAGCGACTTCTCTTCTTCGTCTGCAAATTGTCAAAGATTAGTGCACTCAAGTATGGGTTAGGGAATGTGAGGCGCATGGATGCATTTCTGTTGGTGTTTATTGCTCATATTTTTTTGGATAAAAGGGTAAATTTACTTATTATAATATCAGAAAAGTACTAGACACCATATTAAAATATTAGGAGAAAAAATACTTATCAACTTTTTAAAACAGATTAAAAATGTCATTCTCGTTAAGTGTCCTTAAGTCTGTTTTTTTTTTTTTTGTATGGGGTCCTACCAAACATACACTTGTCAAATACTTTGCCATGTAAGCTCCCATCTTGGTCAATTCAATCTCACACCCCTATCCTATCTCTGTCAAAGCATTACATGGTAGCTTAGGATGCACTAATATTGTGGACCCATCCCTCTCTCTCCTCCATTACTCACTTCTAGTCCTCTCAAATGCTGTCACAGCACCCTCACTTTTTCCTTTTATTTCTCGCTCGATCTCCTTACCTCTCTTCTTTGCCTTTTCTCTTTCCCAAAATTGGACACACACTTGCCGGAATCTGGAAGCCATGAATGTCGGCACCGCACCTTCTTGCAATCTCAACAAACTCCTTAGTCAGCTTACCCAGGATAACATTTCCCAGCTTACTCGTGAAGACTGTCACATATTTCCTTTTTCCTTCTCTCTCTTACATTTTTTATTTCCCAGCTCATCGCCAGCACTGCCATCTTTTGTTGCATTCTCTCTTACGACGAGATTGTCCGTTTGATTGAATAGCCTGAAGCTCGCAATTTCTCAGATATGGGTCGTCGATTTTTGCAGATCATTTCATAGATCTTGTTGTTCTTCTTCCTCTCGCATGGCATCAAATTGTCTTTGATTCCTCATCTATAGGTCTTCAATTTTTTTTTCCTTCTCATGATAGTTGTTTGTCTTTGAAAGATTGGTTATGCGTGTTTGATATTGTTGAGAATAACTGTTTCTGAGTTGGATTACATTGTGCTTGATGTTGATGATTTACTCTCATGATTCTTCACTGATGATATTGGTTTGAGTAATAATGGTCAATGATGATTACCATGGTTCTTCACAGTTTCTGATTTTGTTCTTTGTTCTGATTTCGTGTTTTCCAATCTTCTTCTACTTCTCATCCTTTTAAATACTTGATTACTTGTGACTTGTGATTTGCGGTTTTTTGGTAAGATGGTTAACATCTAGATAATGTATGATTTTTTTTGGGTTTTTTTTGTTTGATTAATTTTTTTGGTGGAAGGAGCAGGACAAAATGGACGGGTTGATGATGACGATGATTCTCTACTGGCGGGAAGGCGACGATTGTGAAGGGGAGGAAGAATTTTTACAATTGTTTTATTTCTTGTCCAACTCAGATACTATTCTGCCATATTTGCCTCCACATCATCATTTTTAGTTAAAAAGTTTTTTTTAACAACATTACCCTGTTTAACGGCAATGGGATTTTAGATCTTTTTTTGAATCATTATGGTTATTTTTTCTCCCGGTATTTTATTATGATAGCTGACACTCTTTTTTAATATTATAATAGGTAAATTTGTCTGGTCGTATTGGGGCAATTGTGTTTTGCTCTAATTGAATAAATTTAACAGGCTTGTCTTTTCTTATACTTTTTTTACTGGTTGAATAAATTTGTCTTTCGTAAAAAAAAAAAAAAGACAATAAGCATAGTGCGAAAATAGATATAAGTGTTTGGACAGAAACAAAATCATAATTTTAAAAGTGTTTTCACGATATATAAAGTAAATATGCAAAATAGTTTATTTCGATTTTAAAAAAAAAGTTTTTAAAAAACACTTTTAAGGTTATCCAAACACCCTCGTAGTTAGAGCAATGTTTGAGTGGCATTTTAGGAGGTGTTTGACAATTTAAAAAAAAAAAAAGCTTTTTGACTCCAAACCATGGTTTTGGCTAGACATTATCCAAGCGGGCAAATTTTTTAGAAAACCTTGGTTTGGTCCAAAACCAAGGTTTTTGGCCTCCAAAATCATTGTTTTATGAAAAGCCAAAAAATGTTGGTTTTTAAAAAATGTGATTCTTTTTTTTTTCCTTCCTACATTGTAATACTATCTCAAATCCTTAATATAAGAACTTGTTGATTAATTTGAATATATTAAAAAAAATTAATTAAATTAGCTATTTGTAATAAATAGATGTTATTTTTCCTAAAATACCCTTTCTATTCATGTGTATTTGTTAGAAGTACCATTCAATAAAAGATTTAATATGTGTAACAACTACAAGGACTACTTTGAAAAAAATAATAAATATGATAAATAAAATGTATCGAGATTTTATATTTAAGAGCAAATTGAATATCAAAATAGCTCTTATATTAAAGACCAGAATTAGTATATTGTTAAAAAAAAGCTAGTTGTGAAAAAAAAATATTATGGGGTTTCATATTTAAAATCTTTAAGGTAAAATAATATTTTTCTGTTGGCAAAAAAAATCATTTTTCTAAAAACATTTAATCTTATATTTTAGAAATATATATACACATATTAATTATTTATTAATTATATTTTTATATATTATTTATTATGTTGGCAAAAAATATATTATTAACAAATTTATTACTTCAAATAAAAATATATTCTAAAATCTATCTTTTATGTAATTATCATATTAACTTATGTCTTTTTTAATAATTTATATATGTAAAAAATACTTCTATTGACGACTATCCAAACATTCTTACTTTATCAAAATCACTTTTTTACAAAATTTATTCTTTTAAAATCCATTCTCAAAAATAACTTTTTTCTAGAAACTATTTTTTAAACAATAATTTAATTTTATCTAAACACCTTCTTAAAGAGCTTTTAAGGGTTAAAAGCACTTTTGGCATGTTTGATGGTATTTGGAATAGCTTAAAAAGCTAAAAGCTTATATCAAAATAACAAAAAATTAAGTCAAAGGCTAAAATTTGATGTCTTTGATGTTAGAAAAGGAGAAGAGAAAAAAATGTGGGCCTTACTTTAAAAAATTTACGGCCATAGGGAGAAGTTAAATCACCAAGAGAGCATAAATTAATTCCTACTCTTTAGATTTTATTTATAAGACAAAGAAAAAGAAATTTTATTGTTTCCTTTATATTGTAGAGAGAGAAACTTTTCTTTGAATGTATAATTTTACACTTCATTAATTATTTGTTGACTTTGTTTTCATGATGTTTAATTTATATTAAATAAAAATAAAATTAAAAACTTATTTAATTTTAAATAAGAGTTAATAAAATTTAAAATTTTTCTTAGTTTGTTTGAACTATAGGACCATAAGAGTAGTCTTTACACTCCATAATATAATATGTTAGTTAATCTTGTTCACAAAATAGGGAATGTTAGTTAAATCATTAAATACTAGCTTCAACTTTTAATATAAGATCTCGTTTAACTTTTATTTTGGTCCTAAATATAAAACCCCAATCAAGTTTATCTCTCATATTTATTCATTTTTTTCAAGATGGTCATTCTAATAATGACAGTTCAAACCAATAAACTTGATTAGCAAAAATATTTTAGAAAAGACAATACTTATTTATTACAATGTACTCAAATTAGTTAACCAGCACTTATATTTAGGGTTAGAGGTAATATGTTTTAATTTTTTGAGCTGCGTGATTTAGTTATTTGATGCTTATATTTTGAACTAAAAAGAATGTTATTTAAGACCATTTTAAGTTATTTTATAAACAAACTTGCATTTTCAATAATTATTCAAAGAATTTTACTTTCACAAACCAATTTATTTACAAAGCTAATCCAAACAATTTTTTTACTTTTAAAAATTAACTTTTATAAAATCAAATCTAAATATAAATCACATTATCTAATCTAACTTCTATCTAATCTAACTTTTTTTTTTGCTAAAGCATAGGTATCCTTCTATTGGAGACAATCCTATTTGAGATATTGTTGGGCACTAAATATGGAATATCTCTCCCAGCAAGAATTCGAATCTTGGTTCATACGTTGTGAGGACTAGCTTCTTCCGCTAGATTTAACTCTGTTGGTTAATCTAACTTTTTTAAAAATCAAATTAAATAAGTTATTTATTTTACTACTAATCCATACGGACTCATGGATATATCTGTTAGCGGTAATGCCCACTATTTTTTTTTTTTGGCATAGGTTTTTTTTTTTATGAGAGAGAGAGAAGAGATAAAAAAAAAAAAAGAATAAAATTGGTTACATGCGTCATTTGGCTCCGACCAAAAGAAAATAATTTTTTTTGGGTACAGAAAGAAAATAACAATTGGTTACATGTACCGCCACTTGGTCTCTCTGATATCCACAGGAGACCACACCACAAAAACGGAATCATGTGTGCAAATTTTATTTTTATTATGTTTTTTTTTTTTTTAAATTCTCTTCATTCCTGATTCGTTCTTCGCATTTTTGGCCGAAGTTCTTCCCCGTTATTATTGAAACAATACGACATTCCCACTGTAGTCTTTAATCTATCAAGTGTGGAATGGATATGGAAAAGCTTATGCATGCGGTTCGGTACCATGGGTATGGTGGAGGCCCTTCTGCCTTGAAGGTTTTCTCAGCTTCATAGCTTTCTCTGTAGTCTTTGCTGCATTTTCTTTCTCTTCCAATTTATGTTTAATGGAATTTCTTTTCCTTTTCTTGTCTCATTTAAAAGGAGGAAATGCGGAACTTTGATTTGGGGCTGAACATACAAGTCTTAATGTGTCGGCGTTTTTTTATTAAAAAAAAAAAAAATCATCAGTGATGTAACTTGATATTACTAAATGACCGAAATTGTTGTACTGTCATTCCACCAGCTTCTTTTATGTTAGAGTGGAAGATTTCAGTGCTTTGAAAGTCCATGGATTCTTTGGAATAAGAATCATATGTATTTTTTATACATCATTTGAATCTAATAATTGATCATTGATTTGCTGTATCTGTATTCTGAAGGATATCTCCGGGGTGGTGGTCAGACATACATGGCTCAATAGATCTTACTTTGTCAATGATAAGGCTAGTTTTAAACTGGATGCTTAATTTCAAGCATCAGTATAGTATTGAATAGCTGCATTGAATAGTTTAACTAAAACAAATCATGCGAATCTAGTGCAGTAGTTGATGTCATACTAAATTTCAAATGTAACTTCACACGGCAGAATGCATCTGGGAAAACAAGAAAAAGAAAAGGCAACTCTGGGGTCACTGCTCCAAGATTTTGTATTCCGCCCTAATGCCCCTTGTCCTTTTGATATTGAAAAGAAGAACGAAAAAAGAAAAAGAAAAGGAAACTCTCTGGTTTCGGATCATTCATATGGCATTTGCTGAGATTTGTTTAATTGTGTTTGAAACCATATATCTCTGTAGATAAAAACTTAGTAGATTTTATTGTAAGCATTGGCTGTTTGAGGAAGCAATGATAGATCATGGTTCATTGGCTGAATGATTTTATGGAGGATGGGTGGACATATCATTTCTATTCATGTGTTGCATGCTTCAGGAAAATCACTTTTTTTGAACTCATGTTACGGGGAAATGTTTATTTTACCATTTATCAATGGTATTGATGTTTTATGCTTTATGCTTATTGCAGCATGACCAAGCTCCTATACCCAATCCAAACAAAGACGAGGTTTTGATCAAAGTGGAAGCATCTAGTATAAATCCATTTGATTGGAAAGTTCAAAAAGGCATGTTGTGGCCACTTTTACCTAGAAAGCTCCCTTATATACCCGGTACCTTTCCTTTTCATTTCTGTAACCTTCATATAAAAGATACTTATCTGTACTTAAATAGGTGCAAAACTCTTATAGCAGTATTTTCATGAAGGTGTCTTTCAGTAGGAACTGATGAGTATATCTATATCTCCTAAAGCAAGTATATGAAATTTATATGTGATATATTTCCCTTTCAAGTAACATTTGCCACTGCACTGTCAACTCCTTTGTCCTGTATATATCACGACTACTTTGTGCCAGTGAACTGAATTTTTGGCTATTTTGAATGGCATCTAATATATCATCAATGGCCTATCTACGTTCATTTCTGAATGCACTTAAACATATCGTAGTGGAGATGCATTTCTATAACTTCCCCACACGATCAGTAAAATATCTGGAATCAAGAGTACGTAATTGTTATCATGTCACTTGCATGATACAACTGCACAGTTTCATATCCAACATGGCATCGAGAGCTTCAGATATATGCAGCTACTATTGGTGTGGCTTGTCGGCTTGTCAATTCAACTTACCATATGGTTTACAAATTTGAATTTTGCACCACCAATCTTTGTAAATCACTGAACTGGGAATACTCCATGCCAACGCAGGAGTTGATGTAGCCGGAGAGGTCATTGAGGTTGGTTCAGGTGTTAAAAGATTCAAGCCAGGAGACAAAGTTGTATCTGTTGTTAATGTCTTGGTAAGTTGTCTTGCACATGATATTTGTTTTTGTCCATCCTGTTCATTAAGTTGAGCACATCTAATATCTGCACTACTGCTTCTATTAATAAGATTTAATCAATATACCAATATATATGTGTGTGTGATCAAATTTTATGAATTAGCATTATTCACAAGTTATGAATACTGCATCTCACTCTTCAGATTTTGTGCAATGCATGGGAAAACTTGTATAGTTGGAAGGATATCTCTATAATTAATAAGTAAATACTGAGGCAGTTTTAGATCTTCCCCTTCCTATCAAAATATTTATTGATTGCCATACATATTTTTATTGTTTGATAAATTGGTCAAAATATCTTTGTAAGAATATTCAGTTGCTATGATAATTTTAGTTTATAGCATTTCAAAACAGATTACAACATTTTTGTATAATCTTAAGTGAACTTCTTTCTCATGAATTCGTGCTGTCTCTTCTATCATTTGAGGTAAGTTATTTATTGCTTTTTATCTTTATTGTTTCCCCTATCTAATCACGTGCTGCATTTTGTGGTTATGTTAAATACTTTTGGTTCACTCTACCATTCTCATGGTCTTTTAGCATAGCTGATTTTGTTCTATTCAGAAAATCGTCTTGTTAGAATTAGAATAATGAATGAAAATCATTCATAGGTATGTGCCTAACTACTTGAGATTTCTGGATAAGTGGTTCCTCTATTTGTATCAAAGCTTCCTTTAGTAAGTGGTCAGTACTTTGGTCCTCACTACTTTGGTTCTCCTGAAAAAGTGAATAAATTGTAGCATAAAGTTTTGATGTGCATATTCCTTTGCCTTTTGCCCCATTTTTAAAATATTAGAAGGCTCTGTTAAAACTATACAAGAAAGAGAAGAAATCAGCTAATCAAAGCATTAAACTCCTGACAAATGTACATATTCTTTGCCTAAGTTTTAAGTCTAACGGCCTTTTCTTTTCATGAGTAGCATGTTAATGATTAAAGTATTGATCAACTTCGAAAATCTGCAATTGAAGTTTGTATGGGAAACTCAATCGTTCGTGTGTGTGTGTGCGTGTGTGTGTGCGTGTGTGCGTGCGCGTACGTGTCCATTTCTTTAAGATCAAGCATCACCTTTGTAATTCGAAGATTTATCTTAACCTCTTGGAATTTAATTTTGCACGGCAGAATGGAGGCGCGCTAGCCGAATTTGCTGCTATTAATGAGAGCGTCACTGCATTGAGGCCACCTGAAATCTCAGCATCAGAATGTGCTGGTTTGCCTGTTGCCGGTCTCACGGCTCACCAGGCACTCCAATCTGCAGGGATCAGACTCAATAATGGAGGCGGTGAACACAAAAACATATTGGTTACTGCTGCATCAGGTGGTGTAGGTCACTATGCAGTTCAACTGGCAAAGCTAGGAAACACTCATGTGACAGCCACCTGTGGAGCTCGAAACCTTGAACTAGTCAAAAGCTTAGGAGCTGATGAAGTCATCGACTATAAGACCCCGGAAGGTGCCGCCTTGAAGAGTCCATCAGGTAAGAAATATGATGCAGTGATACACTGTGCAGTTGGGATTCCTTGGTCTACTTTTGAACCTAACCTGAGCACTAATGGAAAGGTTATAGATGTAACTCCTAGTGCTAGTACATGGATGACATTTGCTCTTAGGAAACTTACCTTCTCCAAAAAGCAAATTGTGCCTCTTCTTTTGATTCCAAAAGGAGAGAGCCTTCAGTATCTGGTTGATTTGGTGAAGAATGGGAAGCTTAAGACTGTAATAGATTCCAAGCATCCTTTGAACAAGGTTGAAGATGCTTGGGCTATGAGTATTGCTGGTCATGCTACTGGGAAGATCATTGTGGAGCTGTAGATACATAGTGCTAAAGTGGAAATAAAATAAATGGGGGAAATTAATCTTTTCATCCCTGTATGTGTAGCTTAGTCCTTAAACTGTAACTCGATGCAATTTTGACTTGATGTAACTTAATTCTTGTGCGTTTAACCATTTAGAAGTTTGGTCCCTATATTTTAAAAAAATTAAATATTTTAGGAAACTTGGGGAGCAAGATTTTAAATTGCTAAAGCCATAAGAATTGAGTAAAGATTGAGTTATAATTAAGTTAAAGTTTAAGGATGAGTTGTATTGTGTTAAAGTTTAGAGGATAAATTACAACTCAGTCAAAGCTATAAGGATCAAAAGATTAATTTTCCCAAAAAACTATGTTTACGATGTGATTTTTTTGTTTTTCATGAATAAGATCTCATTTGACTTGTCTGTGTCTTTAATTATTACAAATAATTTATATGTTTGGATTTCCTATGGAAAGCTATTGAGGTTTGACCCCTTGAAATAATGTCGTTATGAAGCACTGGTGTTATGGGTAAAAAATAAAGGGAGAATTACAATGAGGTGTCAACGAAGAAAAATAATTATTAAAAAGTCTCAATGACAATTTAATCAACTTGTAATGATAAGTTTTAGAGTAAAAAATTATAACTTTTGTGATATATTTTGTAATTATTTTCCTTTCTTGGGACATCATTGTAATTCTCTCAAAAATAAAACAGACGTACATCAAATGTGTGTTCATCCGATAAACAATGCTTATTTTGCACACATGAAACTGGGTGGTAATTTTAGGCCTAATATATTGGGAAGAAATAATTATTCATAATACAATAATAGATAATTCATAAGTAAAAGTATTATAATTCTCTCATGTAAACTGATTATATTTAAAATATCACCTTAAATTCAATATTTTCATAGAATTTAATATAAACTAATTATATTTAAAATATCAAATTAACTATTAATAAAATGAGAAATTGATATGGAAATTTATATCCAGTAATTTAAATACACATATATATAAATAAATTCATTAAGCACATAATCGTATGCAAATATACAAATATACTATACATTGAAGAGTACTAAATTTCGTATGAATTTTACAATTTATTTTGATATTAATTTAATTATATTAAATTAAATTTACTATAGATTAAATTTATTTTCATTGGAATGAAATTAAATAAAATTAAGTCTAGAGATAAAAATTGGAAGGAAAAATATAATATTTGTCCAAAAAAGGAAAATATAATCGTCACATAAAAGTAGAAAATCTATGGGGAGTTGCACTAGTCACAAGCCCTATTGTACAAAAATATTTGTTGAAGTTACTAATTTTGGAGGTACATAGATTAGCCTTTGAGATCAATATGACTGATAAGTGTTGGTCCAAGTGGAAAGGATTTGGGCACTTTAAACATCATGTCCTAGGTTCGATCTTTGAGACGGTATGCACGGAGAAAAATATTATTGGAAGGGGTCCCTGTTACGGCACCTAATAATACCCCAGAGGTTAGTTTCTTGCTGTTCAGGTAGGAGGATACTCTAGGTAACAAAAACAATATATAACTGAAATCACAAAATGACTAGGGGATTATTTAAAATAGCAACTGGTGTCTCCAAAGTAACTTTTTAAGATTATTTTTTTTTATCTTGACTTATGTGAAAATATTTATATATATAACCAGCTCTAAATAGACACTAGGTTGTTCAAAATGGATCGAGAATTACTCCAGCCATTTGGAGTTGGACTGTTTAGTCTGAATTTTAATTCACTACCTATCATGAGACATACATTATTGAAAATGTATACATGGATTCAAAAGCTTATTGAGAATCATAATAGGGTAAATCTATAAAAATACCTATAGACATTTATCCAAAATGTACCCATCATCATAAGCTTTTTCAAACTGTAAAAGCATCTATAAATTTGCACCTCCAAAGTAAAAATAACACCGCCATTAAATATGTCTAACAGACGTTATGTTTTGTTGTGAGGCCCACACGAATGCTATGAATACGAAAATACCCCTAGCTAAAAAAACAGAGGTAAAGGTGTAAAAATACTCACAACCTTTTGGCTAATGTGCGCTAAGCATACAAACACTGTTTTTTCACAAGCGCAAAAGTATCCGTAACTATGCAAATAGATTAATTCTTTCAGTTTTAGGGGGAGAAACTCTATTAAATTTTATCATACATTTTGTGGTTAATGCATATGTTTGGTTTTCTAAGTTTATCAAGCTTTAATTTAATTTCTTAAATATATAAAGATATTTTCATTCACTAAATGTTAATACCATTGGTCTCATTAATCAAAAGTACTAAGTCAATATATTTAAAAAGTGACTGCAAAAATGTCCATGAATGTGTAAATAAATTAATTATTTCATTTTTGAAAAAAATGTATTGAATTTTTTTATTCTATTATAATACCAATAAATTTTATGGTTAATTTATACTTTTGATCATCTAAATTTACATCAAGTTTTAATTTAGTGTCTTAAAATTATGAAGTTTATTTTCAGTCCATTAATATTTTTATATATTGAAATATGGGTTATCGATGTTAAAAATCAAACTACATCTTTATTAGATTTTATTTCAAATCTTTTTCAATTTATAAATTTTAAATTAAGATTAATATTTTAATATTTAATTAAAAATTTACCATTTAAATTTATTAAATCAATTTTTGGCTGTTAATGAGACTAACAGTGTTAATATTAGGTGGATTGAAAATACACTTTATAAATTTAAGAAGCTAAATTAAAACTTATGTAAATTTAGAAAACTAAATATATATGCTAACCATAAAATTATTAGTACTACAATAGTATAATAAAATTTAATAGAGTTTTTTTTTCCAAGACTGAGAATTAATTTATGTTATGAACATAATAATATGTTTGTAGATTTTCATATATCTAATATCCTATCTAATATCTCTTATTATCTCTATATCTCACAATTATTTCCTATTATTATGTAATTTGCACATTATGTTAAAGATGTAAAGCTATGCCTGTAAATAAAAGGTATATATTGTGTATTCAGTATATTGAATAGAACAATAAATACTCCTATCTTCTATTCTCTCTGATTCTATTATCTTCTTCTCTACTCTTTCTTTAGTTTTATAACACGTTATTAGTACAAAGCTCTAACTAAAGCATGTATGATATATACCTTTAGATCCTCTACATAACTTTAGAGCATTATCTTTATAATTTTTTCTAGTACTCTTTGCTCTATTGAAATGAAAATATTTTAAACATCATATATATGGTGTTTCAGAGTAGCAATATCTCTATTCAATTTATTTGAGATAATCTAATCCTTTATATGAAATTAAATATTACATTCCATGACTAAGACTGAAAATTATTACTGCTTTATATTTTTAAACTTTAATTTAATTTTGATATGAATATTATACCTTTTAAATTAATTGTGATGTGAGGAATTGGGTTTTATCTATTCCTTAGTAACCTGATGTCACTATCTTTGATGGAATCTAAAATTTCAATCGATACTTTTATACATCATTTGGTGACTTGACATCACTAATTTGAAGGAACCTAGAGTTTCAATCAATACTTATAATTATATATGGCCAATGCCCAAATTGAGAATTTGAGAGAGTGATAGTTACAGAGTAATAGTTACGATACTAGAAGTCATATTCAAGCAAATGACAAAAAAAATTTTATGGAGCCAAAAGGTCATAAAATGTAGGGGTAAACCCTTCAAAAGCTCAAATGTTACCAAAAAATGAAAAATTTGTTGTGAAGCAAAAGGCCACAAGATATATGGATAAACCCTTAGAAAACTCAAATGTTATAGCAATTAACATAAATCCAATTAGTACTTGTAGTCTCTCTAAAGGACTACCGTCAGATTTATTATTGAGATGAAAGATAGATTTATTTGTATAAATTTGATTTTCTATCTATTTGAAATTAAATAGTCATTAGCCATCATACTCATGTTATGTCGGAAGTCAAATTTTGATTTTCTATGTTATGGTCAGGAGCCATACGACTTTGAATATCATATTACTTCAATTTTTTATTTTATACAGCTAGAAGTCATATATTTGATTTTTTTTTTTTTATCTTGAGACTAAATGGCTGGAAGCTATATATATATATATATATATATATGATTTTCTATCTTGAGATTAAATGGTCATAAGTTATATATATTGATTTTCTATCTTATTAAATGGTTAAAACTTAAAAGCCAAATAGTTTTGATTTTAAAAAGGATCACCACGTAATTTGTTTATAAAGAAAAAATTAAAATTATTATAATTAGGCTTTTTGAAAATTATAAATAATATAACCTAGAAGGCTAATGGTTTAAATATTTTATATTATTAAAAGCTCTTCACTATAGTGAATGATGATGTGATGTCTTTGTTTAAGATATTCATATTCATCATATAAAGGTATATGTATATGTATTATATTCCTTACTTTTATTAGATTTTTATTTGTTTAAAGTCTTAACTTTATTCTTATGATTATAATTATCTCAGTTTGATATCAATAGACTTAATGTCTTGAAAAACACTGTAATAAAATAGCTAGCAGCTATATTAATTTCATGTAGTTCTAATATGTGTAGAAGGAATATGACCCTACAATGGAGATTCATATTCTTAATATATGAGGTATGAGAATTCATCTTTTTTTATTTTGTGTTAGATTCATATTTTGTATTTTATTAATTTAAAGTTTAAATTTTTATTTTATTTTATTTTTATATGTTTGCCATATTCAATTTGATGTATGTTTAATTTCATGTTACTAAATGGCTCATTGTTTATTTTTCAATTATGGCAAAAATCGCACTTAAAGACCCTATTATGTTTTTAGCCAAACTTGCACTCAAAGACCCAGTTTTCATGTCTAAGTCCATCTCAATCCAACAGCCTCTTTTTTCTTATATTTGGAGAAAAAGTTACAGTTAATAATCCTATCACTCAATATTTCATTTTATTCAATATTATCTACAAAATAAATAAGATATGAAAAGATTTTGTAGAGAAGTATCTTTTATATTCTTACAATTAGATTCAAGAGGAAAGTATATTAAATGAATTGATTATGTTTTTATTCATTATAATGAGTTTCTTTTCATAATCCTCTCAAAAAAATTTTAATTCATAAAGAACACAATGTAATTATT